AGAAAAGTCAAAATAGCTCCTAGTAAAAGCATAGAAGCCTCTATATTAACCTCCCAAAATAGCAACATTCCTAAGCCAAAGTCCAGAAAAAACATACCTCTCCGAATTTACCACCCTGCAGTTCTGAATCCGCCTTGTAGCCAAGGGGTCTCCGCGGTGCTGGAGATGTTCATATGTTCCCGGGTTTCGGCACCATATGTCCCGCGCGCTCTGTATTTCTCGCCAGCAAGAAATCATACACGGGACACTCGGATCCTTCTGCAGACAAGCTTTAATGCATCTTGAGAGTGAAAGAGCATAAGCTTCCCAGAGTGGAGACCCCAAGCCAAGAATCCCGTCCCCTAATAAAGGCTGGCAACCGCCGCCTCGGACGTGTCACCCCATGATTGGCTGCAGCTCATCCGGCCATATGACGCCACAGAATAGGCAGAGATCAAGGAATGGAAAATTACCCAGCGCCTGCGCAATAATCTTGTTTACATTCGGTGCCTGCCGGATGCAGGCGCCATCTTGCAATGGAGAATGCAGGGACGGCTCCCTACAACTGGAAGGGTAATACTCTTTAATGGTTAAGAACATATGGGAAACTAGAGTGATGGCTCCACTGGTAAAGTGCCTGTCATGCAAACATGGAGTTGAAATCCCCATATAAATGCTGGGTGTGGTGGCATCTGTAATCCCAGTGCTGGGTGAAGGAGGTCCTTGGGATGCAGATAAGATAATTCCTGTGCTCACTGGCCAGCCAGTTTAGCCCCAAACATGAACTCTAGATTTAACAAATGACTCCATATAAAACATAATAAGATGGAGAAAAAATAAAAAGATGCAGAGATACCAGATGTTGACCTCTGGCTTCCACACATATGTTTATACACACACACACACACACACACACACACACACACACACACACACACACAAGCATGAATGCTATGACACACAGACTGTTTGTATTTTACCACTGCCTCTCCAGCTGTGTGATTGGAGTGAGTTACTCACTAAGTCTGTTTTCATAAATGGTGATTAAGGGCACTGTCTTACTCAGTGTTCTATTGATGTGAAGAGACACCATGAACACAGGAACTCTTAGAAAAGAAAGCATTTAATTGGGGCTGGCTTACAGTTCAGAGGTTGAGTTCATTCTCATCCTCATCATGGTAGGAAGCATGTTGGCACATGGGCAGACACAGTGCTGGAGAAGGAGCTAAGAGTTCTACTTCCCGATAGGCAGACACTGGAACATGGCTTGGGCTTCTGAACCCTCAAAGCCCACCCTGAGTGACACACTTCCTCTAACGAGGCAACACCTCCTAATCTATCTCAAGTAGTGTCATTCCCTAATGATCAAGCATCCAAATATATGAGCCTATGGGGGTCATTCTTATTCCAACCACCACAGTCACTAATGGAATTACCCTTTCATTAGTGCTGACATGTAATTAAATGGACATTGCAAAGGGAACTACTTAGCTTGGGGCTAGGCATGTATTTGTAACTTGATAACTTCTTTTTATGGTGCTGGGCATGGAAACTAGGGGCCTCATGCTTGCTAGGAAAGCAGGCTGCCACACAGCCATGCCCACTCTGCCTTCTTTCAGGTGCTGGAGCGTCAATTATTCCAATGGATTTCATGCAAAGCCAGTAGGAAGAAGATGACTCTCATTTAATTGCAAAAAAAAATCTCTCTCATCCTATTTTCCTTTCCTTTATCCCATCTTACCAGGGAAGTAAATGTCACTTAATAAATAGGGGATGTTTCATGGCTTCTTCTTGTTGTTTGTTTTGTTTTAGAATGCTATCCTGGGCTATAATTTTTAAAAGAAATGATGAAACCATGATTCTAATACTCAGAACCCCCAAATCTCTTTGTTAGGCTTCAAATCCTGATGAAGACTCCAAGGATAACACTTGTGACAGAGAGCCTGCAGGCATGGCTCTCTGTCCTTCCCTGTGTGACCACCATGCTATCAGGACTTGGCTGGGCTCCTTGGAGTGGCATGAGAATTGTGGGGAAACACGAGGGTATGGGGCTCTGTGATGAATGTGTCCTGGTTTTTCTTCTTTTAGGTATCTGCTGGCACTGGGCAGAAAGCAAGAGGACCCATTATAATGTTCACCTGGCATTTCGTTGTTTGTATTCATTAATGATATGAAGTAAGGTTGGAGATTTTTGTCATCAATGGCTACTTGGTTATTCAGATTGAAACACACATATCTAAAGCTCAAAAGTGGGTAGAATCTTGGAGGAACTGAGGCAGGAGCAAGAATATAATCAAAACATATTGCGTGAAAAATATTTAATAAAGTTTTTCAAATGACCTTCATCTCTAAAATGTAAACATTCTGCTGCCTTTGGAGGCAGATATGATGATATGGTATGCTATGACGTGACATGATAAGATTTGACTTGATTTGGTGTGGAGGTGGTATAGTGAATGACCAAGTCTAAGAATCCCATTTTATTGCTTTGTTACAGATTGATATTCTCAAGGCAGATCTGGAAAGTGCAGAATGGAAAGTTCTAGAAAATCTCATTCTAGAAGATGTCCTTGAACAGATTGGGCAGCTCGTCTTTGAGATTCATCTCCACTGGCCTGGCTTTGAGGTCAGTGGCAGCGAGAGCAGCGTGGTGCGGTTTTGGTACAGCCTCCTGAAGGAGTTGGAGCAGAAAGACTTCAGGCTCTTCCACACCTATAAAGACTTATCCAAACCGCAGCTTTTCCTGAAGAAAGACATTTTCAATGCTAGCAGCTGCTATACCCTGAGTTGGGTGAATACAAGATGGAAGTAGGGCAGAGCGTCTCACACATACAAAGAACTGTTTGCAGACAGATGTGTCCCTGCTACCTGTCATGGAGTTGCTTCCACTAGCCTGTTACCTGTTTGAGGCAGGGACTGTGTTTTCATCTCTGCAGTACATGAAGCCTTGGGCTTGACAAGCAACAGCAGCACGATGAACACCTCCACTTTTCCAAACTGAGACTTTTGTGGTTTTGCCATTGACAGGTTGGGGGTGCCCTCTTCCACTCTTTGTGGTTTTGCCTTTGACAGGTTGGGGGTGCCCTCTTCCACTCTTTGTGGTTTTGCCTTTGACAGGTTGGGGGTGCCCTCTTCCACTCTTTGTGGTTTTGCCTTTGACAGGTTGGGGGTGCCCTCTTCCACTCCCACTTGGAGGGTAGAAATACCCCCTGCCTATCCCGGTTTTCAGCATCTGTAGCTCACAAATTTACATTAAAATAATTTTTAAAAATTCTTTTACTAGGTTGATCAGATTTTAAAATGCACTGTTGATTTTAAATTGGGACACTCATTTAATTTTAGCTTGCCTCCCTCAAGGCGTCTCTTGTCCAGCCAGTTACGGTTGTGCTTTATAACCTGTGGATTTCAGCCATCTCTTCTTGGCCTGTTCTGAAGCCATGCTCGGGCTTTCCAAGAAATGCTGGTCCTAGTTCCTGGGAACCTAGATACACCAAGTTTACTCAGGGAAATACAAGAACTTCGGTTCACAACTCTTCTTGTACTTAGCCGTAAACTGCCTTCGTGTCCTATGGAATTAAGCACAAAACAGAATCAGAGTGTTTTTGCTATTGCCTTGTCACCTTCAGACATGGCGTCTGTACCACAGCCTTGCCTCTGCTGTCAAATCATCTTAAACACACTATCTTAGAGCTGAAGAGAGGCCTCAGCTAGTCAAGTGCCTGTCACACAGAGTGAGGGCCTGAGTTTGCATCCCCTGCACCTAAAAGGTGCTAGGCATGCCTCTGTAACCACAGTGTAGGATGAGGGTGGGCTGGAGACAGCTTGGGGCTCACTGGCCATGCTAGCCTGGCTGAATCAGGTTTCAGATTCAGTGAGAGACCCTGTCCCAAAAGATAAGTTGTAAGCTGGGCATGGTGGTACACACCATTAATCCTAGCACTTAGGAGGCAGAGGCAAGTAAGTTTTATTGAGGTCAGCCTGGTCTACAGAGTAAGTTCCAGGACAGCCTGAGCTGTCACTATGTATAGTGAGAGAGATCCTGCCTGAGAAAAACAAAAGATAAGTTATACAGAGATAGAGGAAGACCAGTGTCAACCAACTGCCCCCCTCCCCCTTGCTCGCTTTCTCAGTACTGCTGTGTATACAGCACAGGGTAGTCCAGAACTCACTAGATGTCTCAGGCTAGTTTTGACCTTTGACCCTCCTGCCTTAGCCCCTGGTTTCACTTTTTTTTTTTTTAAAGCAGAACAGGTAGGTTCTCAATGGTTCAAATGCTATCTATAATTCTTATTTATAGATAGAGACTGTCCTATGGATGATTTTCAAAATTTTATACTGATTAAATAACATAAAAATAAACCAAGTTAAGGGTTTGGGGGCATGTTTTTACATACAGAGAGTGAAAACTAGATTTTCATTTTTCAAAACCTTGTAGGAGGCAGAGGAATTCCAACTGTTGTTACATTCCATCCCTTCTCCAGGCTTTTCTTTCCTAATTGTTCCTTCCCTCAGATAACACTGATCTGGCTTTTGGCTTTTGGGTTTTGAAAACACCCTTTTTTTCAGTTGAGGAACTGGCAGATATTAGAATAGAATAATCTCACTAACAAGCTAAAAGGAGACAGGAATTTTGAATTAGTTGTGGTAATTTTTAAGAAATCTGAAGTTTGGGGGCTGGAAAGATGGTTCAGTGGTTAAGAACACTGGCTGTTCTTCCAAAGGACCTGGGTTCGATTCCCAGCACCCACATGGTGGCTCACAACTGTCTGTAACTCCATTTCCATGGGACCTAGCATCCTCAAACAGACATACATTCGGGCAAAACACCAATGCACATAAAATAAATAATTACAAAAAATATGAGGTTTTGATTTTAAACTCATAGTATCTGAAAAAGAAAGGGGGTGTTGTGTTGGGAAGAATGGCTGGAATAAATGTGATCAGCAACATTGACTCAGCCTTGCCATTGTATGTCCATGAATACAGAGAGTCCATGGAGACTCTAACACGGTTTATATTGTTAGTATGTGTGGTGTTGTCCCCAAAGAAAGGTAACTTTAGTCTGGCTTTGTTTGGATTTTGTCACAGATTTTTAAATAAAGTTTTATGCACTGAAGTGTATACATAGTAAACATCTTTATACACCAATGTATAGAGTGCACTAGTGTTCAGTCTGACCAAGCCCTAGATGTATACACACTGATAGCAAGATTTTTTGGTGTGTGCAATTGGAGATTGAAGGCACTGAAAGTTCGAGAGAAGTAATGTAGAGCATTGGCTTCATCACACCTCCTATGACTAAAGCAAGAATGGATGTTCTGTTAAAAAACAACCAAGAGAGGAGTAGAGGAGAGGAAATGGAGGGGCAGAAATATTGAGTTGGGGAAAGAATAGAGGA